TGACATTTGTTGTCTAGAGGGCATTTATCCCGATTTCTACAATTACACGTTGGGGTTGTCTGAGGATCCTTTTCCTTAATACTTTCCGATTATGCTGCGAAATTACATTCTTTACATTTGGCATACAGCTATAACTGACTTTTATCGTGCTTCCGTTAAATATCTTGTGAAGCGGGTTTGTGGGAGGAAAATGTTTGTCGATAAGTTGAAGAAATCTGCCTCCAACGTTTGCCCTAACCGATTTACTATACGGGGGGTTAAACCATATAATATTTCTATGCCTCTTTTGCTTTCGCGTTGCCGATACGTTGTGGCTCTCAGGGTTGTAGTGTAAATCTTCTTTATAGTGACTTTCTTTCAAGTTTTCTACGTAAAAAGGTTTTGACTGTTCGAATGTCTCTTTGTTAGATGAGAGAGATGATATACGCCTGTTTATTGACTTCGGTATTTGCTTTAGAATTGCTGGCGGGTGGTTAGATCGACTGTCTACATACTGAGTCGTGTTAAGGGGCTTTCTATACGGCTTGAAACTATCGGCTTCCAAGTCCAACGTAACATCTAAGAAATTTGCAAGGTGATGACTTACTTCACATGTGATCTTCAGGCCAAACTGATGGAATGTTTCATTTAATGCTTTCCTTGCCACGTCAGCGTTCCGAGTTGTGTTTCCTTTTACTAAAGCCAAGCCATCGTCCCGATATAAACCAAAAAGATTCTTGCCAAAAATATCCGAAATCTTATTCAATAATTCAATTCAATTTGGAGGATACGTGATCTACGTGATCTACACGGTCACGCGCGAAAGTGCTCTGCGATTTCCTCGTGTTTTTTACTAACTAAATCGGGATATTTCAACAAATACCATCTACAGTGCTTGATAAATCAACCGTCCGTTGGAATCCGAAGTTTGTATAAAGTTTTCGTTGTTTCTTCGTTGCTAATTTCGTGTGTTTATTGTTCGTTTTGTTGATTTTGGCTCAACGATTAATATAAAACTTAGACGGTTGATCGATACGTGCGAAATACGTCATTAGCGAGCTTTAGCAGTGACTACGAGTACGACTACGAGTACGAGATTCTTCATTCTCGCGCGTTGTTTGCTTACGCCATCAGCTAAAACTCGTAGTCGTTGGGCTTTCGAGTACGAAGTTTATCAAAAAACTCGTACTCAAATGCCCGGCGACTACGAGTTTTGACTGATGGCGTAAGCAAACAACGCGCGAGAATGACGAATCTCGTAATCGTAGTCGTACTCGTAGTCACTGCTAAAGCTCCCTAATTAGCGAGCTGACGACGGCGCGCAAGTTTGAGAGATGGAGCAGTGCGCGTGCATCTGCGCTAATTAATGGAAAGAATTGCATACATTTGATTTGGAAACTACAATGTGACAATATTTTCAACAGGATAAAGGACAGAGTTAAGTGTTTTATAACAATATTAACAATTATCTGGTTGTGTTCAAAATTGAAGCCTGATTTTATTCCAATCAATATTACCTTAAACGGCGTCATCGTTAATCCAGAACTTGCAATTTTACCGCCAAAGCTGTGTTATATGGATCGCTACCCGTGACTTTAGACAGAGGAAATTGAACTATCCGCTGAATTACCGCTATGGATTAAATCTTCAATAAAACCGAAAACCGTGTCATGTTTTCCTTCTTATTTTGCTTGCTGGCGATGTGGCTATAAATCCTGGTCCAATTTCAAGCAATGCGAAAACAAACAACGGCTTAAAAGTACTATATGTCAATGCGCGTAGTCTAAAAGCATTCGTGACACTTGGTGAAAGCAAAACCAACGTTTGTAATGTTATAAGTTTTTATTTTCTTCTATACGCGAGATAGGAGATCTTTTACAAGGTTTTACTACAGTTCAATAATGTTCAGTTTCTTTTCTGGATTCTTAATTCTTCTCTTGATCTTCTGATCTTCGTCATTTTTGAGTTCTGGTCTTGATTGTCTGTCCTGTAAGGTTGAGCTTTCTAACGTTTCATATGCTTTTTACTAAGCTAGTCCACTGAAGGTTGGGGTGTTGTGCACGCCCTTTTATAGTAACGGTTGAGGGATATTGTAAACGTCATCAACCAGAGTGGGCTGATCCTTATTCAAACAATCAGCGTTGTTAGTTAGAAATGTGGGTTGGCGTTAGAAGTTCGTTCCAGCTCTCATATCTTGTTTGTTTAAGGCGTTGTCGCACTAGTCGAGTTGGTCTTCTGCTCAATCGATCGATACTTAAAAATGTTCACAACTTAAAATATTTATCATCGACATGCATTAAAATTATCAAACATTGTTTCTGTGAACCTTTTTTATAACTTAACTATTTTACTACTACTTTAATCGATTTAAACTTTCTCTGACGTAACCCTTAAAATGCTCGACCGCGCATTTAAAAAACACAGTTGATTGACATAAGAGCTTCGCAGCTGCCTAAAGCATGCATATTTTCAATTATGAAAGTTAAACTTGGCAACGACATACGACTGTTGATCCAGATGCGCACGTTCTGACAGGATGATTGATATTTTCACCTTACTACTTTATTCAATCCCACGAAAGTCATGCATGAAAGGAAATGTGATTAATGATTGCGAATGGGCCGAAATTATTTTTACTCAGGCATCTTGTGGCAAAACTTAATCACTAATCCCTGTCATGCTCTTGCTACTTCTATTTTTATGGCTATTTTTATATGCGTATCTCAATCACTATGAAGCCTTGCGTAACAGTAAGATCACATTATTTCAACAACTGGTACAATCTAGTATATGATGTGGTTTGTGTGTGTGAAACCTGGCTAAATAATACCGTGTTTGACAGTGAGCTTTTACAGGATTACTGCATCTTTCGAAAAGACAGAGTTGGACGAGTCGGAGGTGGTGTTCTCGTCGCTACAAAGCTGAACATAAGAGCAACTCGCCGCTTAGATCTCGAGAAGCAGGATGCTGAATTTATAGTAGTAGAATTAGTCAAACCCAACAAAAAGTCAGTCTTGCTATATACCTTCTATCGTCCCCCCGACTCAACAATGGAACCCCTTCAAAATCTTAACATGTCCCTCCAAAACACCAGTGAGTCCAGTTGTTGTGTCGTGGTTGGTGATTTTAATCTCCCAGCGATAGATTGGTCTACTGACAGTGGAGCTCCAATTAACAAAGGAGAACGAGTAATTGGTGATGTCCTCTGCGACCTTGTTGGGGACAATTTCCTAACCCAATTCATAGAAAGTCCTACACATAAAGCTGGAAACACACTCGATTTACTTTTGTGTAATTGTCCAGAAGTCATTGATGAGGTCAATATCAGAAGCCCTGAGGAATGTTATTTCCCAACAGATCATCAAATTATTGACTTTAGTATCAAACTGAACTTTCAACGAACTAAGTCGGCAGCGCGTCAGGTTTATAACTTCAAGGAAGCTGATTTTGAAGGTCTCAATCATACACTCAGTCAGATGAAATTTGATGTTAACAGTACCAATGATATCGATAAACTTTGGTCTTGCTGGAAAAAATCGTTCCTTAATGCAGTAAATAGCCACATTCCAACTAAAATAATAAAGGATACCAATTCTCTTCCTTGGGTAGATAAAGAAGTTCACCATCTTATCCGAAAGAAATACTCAGCATTGAAAAGATATCGCCAAAACAAGTGCGAAACGAGAAAACAAAAGCTAAGAGGCTTAAGTGACGCAGTCAAGTCGCTAATTAAAAGGAAACATAGAGAATATCTAAGGAAAATCGAAACATCATTCGCAACTAATCCGAAACTTTTCTGGACCTACCACAAAGCAATTCTGCATAGCAGGTCAAAACAAACTTCTGACATTGTCTTCAGCGGTATTACAGCAAAGTCGTCTGCAGAAAAAGCCGAGCTTCTAAATTCTTACTTCTCCTCAGTATTTACAACATACAGTACTAACATCAGAGACTGTTATGGTGAGGCGTCCGAAACTGAGCTCAGACTGGGTGAATTAACAGTTGATGTGGCTGAAGTGGAAAAATTACCTCAGAAATTTGGATATCACCAAAGCGAGTGGCCCTGACAACATACCAGCACGTCTACTAAAAGAATGCAGTTGGCATATTGCGCCTATAGTCTCTGTGAAATTTAATGTATCTCTGAGTGTCGGACGACTTCCCGCAGAGTGGAAATCAGCGAATGTAACACCAGTTCACAAGAAACATCAAAGAGAACCCGCGGAGAATTACCGACCGATATCCTCTTGCCCATCATTGCGAAACTATTGGAACATGTAATCAACGTTATCTCCCCGGGACAACACGGTTTCTTACGCAATCGATCATGCACTACACAACTGCTGCAGGTGCTACATAAGACAGAGTTGCAAAAAAGAGTTCAACCTTCCTCCGGTAACATTTCAAGTTTTGAAAACCTTCCTCAAAATGACGTTACGTCATTGAGTCAGTGGCAACCAGCATAAAGAAATAGTGGTTTTTTGGTACATGCATGTGATCAATTAGAGTGTTCAACTTTGAACCTTCCTCACAAACCTCATTCAAAGCAAACCTTCCTCCGGGTGGCACCCGCGTACCCGCAGCTTTTTTGCAACTCTGACATAAGATTGGAGAAAATCTTGACCGAAATATTCAGACAGACATTGTCTATTTGGATTTTGCCAAAGCTTTTGACTCTGTCGATCATGGATTAATCTTGGCAAAACTCAGGCATTTTGGTGTACATTCAAACATGCTAAATTGGTTTACTGACTACTTAACTGGTCGGACCCAAAGAGTCGTCGTTGATGGTGTTGCTTCAGGTTGGTCCTCAGTAACATCTGGTGTACCGCAAGGTACCATACTCGGTCCAATGTTGTTTGTATTATTCATTAATGATTTACCCGACATCATTCCTGAAAAATCAGAATCTGCCCTATACGCTGACGATACAAAAACATTCAGGAAAATTACTTGTGAAGATGATGCTCGCCAATTACAACAAACTTTAACAAACCTAGCCACCTGGAGCAATACCAACT